TTTGAAACGATATATTAAATGAACTACCTGATAGTTATAATCAAACTACAACTTAAATTTATACTTTACGGAAACTAATTTTGGAGGCGAGGAGAGTTTTTATATCGCGTGCAATACTATCAAAACTAAGCCAAAACTATTCTCAGGGATATCCGGTCCATAACTTCAGGATTCGATTAAGGGTCTTTCCTTAAGCTACAACAATGGAGACAACCGATATAAACTTCATGCTATATGTGTTTCATGTGACTGTGTTAATTAGGTGCATCATTTTATAAGCGTGAACTTATCCCTTTCTGAATGTAATAACATGAAATTATTTAAGATTATAGAGCTGTATTACATTTGATTTACCAATAGCGATTATGTTTAAATTTTTTTTTACACATATAATAACGAAACTTTATTTCAACCAATCTAAACCACATAACAGACATCTTTGCTATACTACTCAAGACAGTCTCCATCTTTCATTAATGATAAATACATACGGGGCAAATAACAATTAGAATGATGAATTCGTTCTCATAAAAATTTTATGCAGGTGCCTACCGTACCGTCTTTTATTAATAAATCAATCTTTAGTGATTAGCAATATTGAGTAACTATTTAAGATGCCGTGTGGTTCCGGCGTAGAGTAGGCCATCCCTTCATTTCCCGTGGGTGTCGTAAAAGGCGACTAAGGGAGGGCGAGAGATGGAGAGCAACGTCCCTCTTAAAATATCTCTAATACCTAACTGCGATTGCCAATCCGCCTACCAAGCGTAGCAACTATTGGCTAAACCCCCCAGGGGGAGGCTTATTTTTAACAGTGGACAGTTAAAGGCTGATATGATGATGATTTAAGATTTCGTTGAAATATTTGTCCTGGAAACATTTTGGACGAATGGAATTATCGGAGAAATTTTTGGATACGAATAAAATTGATATGGATTTTAGGGTAATTTATTTGAGAGTTTTGGCATTTATAAACATTATATATAAGTTGTTTATAGGCTAGCATTGAAAGGAACAGTTTTTTCGTCGTCAGTAATAGTTGGTAAAACGAAAAAAAATGGAACAAAAATTTGTGATCAGATAAAAGTAAATCAGATAAATCATTTTTATTTGGTGAAAAACATTGGAAATTCGGGAAGAAATAAAGAATCACATCTGGCCAAATCTAATAACTGGTGCACAGACCCGCAGTTTCCATACGCAACGTGTTGATAAAGGTGCCAAGCGCATTGAAAAAAATCCCTTCATAATGCCAATAATATCACAACGTGATCTAACCTACTTACTGCATTCAAAATACAATATATGGGAAACAACTATTTATATTTGTTTACTAAAAAGCGAATGTGTTTTAGCTTTTAAGAGGATTCATACCGAAGATGGTAATATTGAAATTGTCTTAAAATTTTCAGAAATAATTTGATTTTTTAAAATTTTCATTTCATATATATATATATATGTATATATATATATGTATATATATAACTATCACAAAGGAAGTCCGAACCGTTTATCCGTATAGAAGTAGGCGCTATCAGTTTACTCAGAGCAAACAAATGGACGTGACAAATTCATATAAAACCCGACTATTATATATCTAGAAGCAATTACGGCAAGTTTTGAGAGATTACGACCAATATTTTTATATTATGCTGACGTTGCTCTTTCATAATTGAGATGATAAATCGAAGAACTATTTGGAGTTACTTATTTATAGTCCTAAAAAGTAAAAAAATTGTACATTCAAGCTTTTGTCATCATTATCGGCTGTTAACTGTCCACTGCTGGACATAGCCCCCCATAAGGGGGGTTTTGCCAGTAGTTGCCATGCTTAGCAGGAGGGTTGGCAACTGCAGTTTGGCTTTTGGTAATGTTTTAAATTTAATATATATAAATAAAATGTTTTAATATTGCCTATCCCTCCACTATAAGCTCCTTTAGTCGCCACTTACGACACCCACGAGAAAGGAAAGGGTGGCCTATTCTATGCCAGAAACATACAGCGATATAATATACAGATATATATCATAGATATCCAAATAATAATTCTTAAAGTCTGAACACCTATGTAGGTAGTCAAACTGAACCGAGTGGCTGCATACATGCCTCAGCACCTCAATGCTAAGGTTGTGTATGAAGCTTCGCACTATTTCGAAAATATTATTTTATATCATTTATTTTGTAATGGTGTATATAAACACAAGTTAAAAACTTTAATTCATATAGAGTCATATAAGTGAATGATTGTGCTAACTTGACATCTGGGGACAAGCATCATCACCTAATCATCATCCGTTAAAATTACTTGAAATGAAAATTCCATTCCTAGTATTACACTTGATATAGTCTCGCCTCAAGATAACAATTTGGTCAGTGAAATAAATAATCCACAATATGTCCCCATTATCTAATGATAAGATGTCACTAAATTGTATAAACTACAATAGAAAATAATATAATATTCATAAACATTCATTTATGCAAAAGATAACTTATGTATTAAATTATCTCTACACCAAATTTCATGAAAATCGGTCCAGTAGTTATTACGACCCATTTTCTGTATTATTCAATGAAAATATAATATTTTTCCAGGATAAGAAGTATGAATCTTATCTGGTTTTTTCATGGGTGGAAATGGAATGGTAACCCACCTGCTTATTGGTAATATGCTGACAAGGTAACAGCGAAGGATAAGTGAAGATGAAAATAAGCCTGTTAGTCCATCGGACCGATATCGACAAAAATAAACCATGATTTTTTTTTTATACAACTTAGAATTGTAAACAAGCTGACGGCCCACCTGATGGAAAATGGTAATCGTCGCCTATAGACATGAGCAGTACCATGGACATAACAGAGTATACTGTTTCGCCCATGATACCCCCCATGCGTTGCCATTCCTGAGGACTCAGGTGTTATTCCTCTGTACCCAGTAAATTCACGCCACGATAATTTCCAGGGAAAACCGTGTGGAGGTCAACCTGCCAAGATGTTTTAATAAAAAAGCAATAGAGTTGTGAGACCTTAAAAAAGAGAAAGAGATTATTAATAATCCCTTTTCTCGCAAATACTTTATATGTTGCTGACTCGAGTATTAACTATTTGCATTTTTGGAATCTTTGAGTCTTATCCTTCACCATAATGACTTACTGGCCTAGTGGCATGTTACTTCAACTAAATAAATAGTTACTATTTAAGTTTTATTAATATTTAATCTGGTAGTACTCTAGCAGATAAAGATATGATATGACGTATTGCTAGCACAATTGTATATAAAGATGTACCATGTTACTGAAAAAATACAATATTAAATCTTATATTTTACTAGTAAATCTCATAATTTACCAATATGATTTGTTTTTATAAAAAAAAAACTCATTTTTGGGGTTTTCACCAAACCTAACCTACCAAAATTATACCTTTATGACCACGAGTACGAGCATCACGCACTTTTTTAGTGTATGGTGTCTTAATTTTATGTCTATTTTTTTATTTACATTTACCATTTGTCTTGGCATGATCTAGTTATGCGTAAGAATCAAATCCATGTTTTATAAAATGGTATTAAGCATGAAAGTGAATGTAAATGACGGGGACCACCGAAGAAAATGTCAATGTATTATGTGAAAGATGGTATGCATAAAATAGGAATGAACACAAGTATAATGATTGACAGAGATATTTGGAATAGAAAGACATAGTGCGATCAAATAAATGGGATAAGGCAAGGCAATAACGATATTTTGCTTGATATCGGCGTGAATTGTTTTTTAAAAACAACAATAACAACACTGGGGGGAAAGGGATTGTTAATAATAGGATCTAAAATATTTATTACTAGCAATATATCAGGTCGACCTCCAAGCGGTACTCTCTCGAAATCATCGTAGTTAATTTTCGTGATGCTCTACCAGCGTATAACGATAGTACAGGCAGAATTACCATTCCGTTTTCACCATCAAAAAAACATTTTTATTTATTCATTCATTCGTTCATATATCATTAACAATATAACTATGTATTCCTTGTAAATGAAATAAAGATTGTTTGATTAATGGCCATTTAACGTGTATGGTCGTATATAGAAGGGTCGTTCGTATGATAATAAACATAATACAAGGACATATCACATCATACAAGTGATTCGTTGATCACAACATTTACTTGCAATTGAGGTAATCTGTTGTTTCACAAGCACCACTTGATGCACTTAAGTGAATATATCAGCAGAAAAATCCATATTTTAATGTACTAATTTTACTGATATTATAAATGTAAATGTATAGTGCTGAAATAACTCATAAGTTATTAATAAAGTAATTTTGTTGGTATTTTGGATATGATGCCTCGATGTGGTGCTGTGAAAACTTATTGATATGAATTATTAGTGTATAAATATATAAGTAGTAGCTGTATCTCATGGATTTGCCTATATAAAATATCCTATGTGCTAAATTAGGACATATGAAAGCTACTGGTGTACCTTTCTTTTTTTCGTGTAATTTTATTCAAATCCATTCAATATTTTTTGTGTAGGATTTATAAATTGTATATATTAGGACAGACTCTTGAAATTATAGTGTGCAGGTACGAGTAGTTTATTCTTAAAAAAAGCAACACATGAGGTGCACTGTCAGTGTTCCGTCAGTTGTGTGAAAAAACATGTACCAAATTGATATAGCAGACAATTGTAACTTGTAAATTTTATTTTTAATTTTTTTATATTTTTTAAACAATTACATTTCATTAAAATAATTGGTGCCTCATTTAATATAGAACGAAACTGAAACATACTAATACAAGAGAATATTTTCTTTTTATCGTTTCTCAGAAATAGTAGGATTGCCATTGAGAATCTATGTTTTTATTCTAAATATAAAAAAAATAATGAAAATTTTGAAGAAATATACACTTACGCGACAAAGTCGCGAGAATGAAACGTAGGCTTAAACACGCTTTCAGAAGGCTATGATAACGGATTATCCTCTTTGTATTGCAATAGCTGACGATCTGACGTTATCGCCGGCCTGATACCGGGATCTCGATAAAATTGAAGTCTTACAGTAGTTTACCTTATTTGTGTCGCAATCTTCAAGATCGCAACATTGAAACGACAGTGTAGCGGCGGAAATGAGTGAGTAGTATTCTTATTTATTTTGTATTCTATGCAATATCACCCGTGCCCAACAGTGGGATGTTTGTTTATTTATTTATAACAATTTACTTTTTTTAAATTAAAAGATAAAGTAAAAATTAATTAAATTAATACTCGGGCACGATGGAGGACTTATCTCATAAAAGGAATTTCTTCCAATTAACCTTTAATATTGGGATATTAATAAATTATTTATAGTAATGATTAATACTTAATATGACCGCCCTCAATTAGCAATGAAGATCTCATTTTTGGATACGAGTCCCACCTTAAAAAATAGGACAATATGGCCTATTATTACCACGCTAGTTAGGCAGCTTGGTGGATAAAAAAAAATTACTTAGAGTTTCCTTCACTTGTATTTGTGTATCGTGCTTTGTTTCCTCAGTTGCATTTTTTTATATACAACATAGAATGGCAAACAAGCTGACGGCCCACCTGATGGAAAGTGGTAACCGTCGCCTATAAACACGAGCAGTATCATGGACATAACAGAGTATACTGTTTCGCCCATGATACCCCCCATGCGTAGCCATTCCAGAGGACTCAGGTGTTATTCCTCCGTACCCAGTAAATTCACGCCATATCACACTCTTCAAACCGAAACACAGCCATGCAAACACAACTGCTTCTCGGTAGAAACACGAATGGGACAAAGGTACCCAAGCAATCGACTTTTGTACAAAGTCTCCCTCTGGCATTTTACAATACTCTTGGCACGTAAAAATTTATGATCCCTACTCCGTTATCATGCGGAAATGAAAATCGAATCTTTAAAGTAAATACGTAACATATGTGATAAAAATGACAGAGCGCCGGATTGAAGTTGAATTATGGGACTAGACATTTTGTTATTCTATTATTTATCTATGATATTCCAAAGCTGGGCAAAGGTCTCCCATCTCCTTCCAAAAGTTTCTGAGCCAGGACATTAAGTAGACAAAAAATTTTGTTTTTTATTTTAAATCTATAAACATATTTTCGACTACTTAGGATGGATTATTATCTATGTCAAAGGAGAAACGCTGCCAGTTTATTAATATAGCGATATCCAACAGCTTAAATTATTGGTTATAAGATTAGAATTATTTTGTGTAATTCCACTACCATTAGGAAGTGTGTGACTGCCAACAATCGAAGATTGACAACTAGTATTACTACCAGAAGTTCCACAACCTTCCATATTAGCCATCGATCTCCGACTGCTATTTTGTTCACGTACGTTTTGCGATTGCGACACGTGTTTCACCTCAAATGAGGCATCTTCAGACAAATTATTAGATTGCTAAGAACCAAGAGTTCAACACCCAAACTACGAATGCCGAAATAAAAAGTTAAAAAAAATAATTATAAACAAATAATCAGTGACATAGACTTTCACAAGGTAACACCTAGTTCAGAAAAATAGCTTATGATAAATGATTATCAAACCTAAGGATTTATAGCGTATCTTTTAACAATAACGTACTCTTTGCTAGTTCGCAGTACAAATAAGTTTGATGGTGATTCCTACATAGCCGCGTCATATAACGTAATTTATTGACGAAATGAAACTGAGAAGATATGTAGCTCTCGATTTCAACCCTTATAATAATAAAATCTGATACTGAAAATCGTTTTATGTTACTACAATTTAGATAAATTTCTGTTAATTTAACCCAATAATGAAACTCAGCAACTCTTAATCCTATCTTTAATTAGCTTTTGTAATTAGGTATTGATGTTCTAGCCATACGAGTATATGTCGTAGTGTAGCAAGCGACGATCCATCGTTGTGGGCAAGATAGGTATGCATGCTGCATTTTGCAACATAAATAGCTCTTATAAAGATCCATACTTTTTTTTTTAAATATTTAATAAATATATAAAGTAGGTTATCAAATCGATTATATTTTTTTTAAGTTTGTTACCTCATAACTCTATCAGTTGTAGACCAATTTGGAAAATTATTTTTTTATTTAAAAAAATATACGTATAGATTGATCTCATAGAAATTTTGTCAAAATCGGTTCAGTATTTTAGTTTTTCAATCAAAATATCTAGTTTTGCCACACGTGAAATCTTTTTTTTTTATATATCACAATATATTATAATTATTATTATATTAGTAAAGTATACAAACCTACCTATACAGAATATATACGAGTCTTTTGTTATGATAATTTATATCGCTATCTATTTACCAGGTATCAGATTTTTTTTATCTACATCTCACCTGGCATCTCAAGTGCTATGAAGTGCTAGTCGATAATGTTCCATTGTTTTACTGATACGTAGTTTGGAATGACAAGTAAACTAATATATTATAACATGGAATAAATTTATTATTTAGAACGCGGAAATTTAGGTGATCTACCATGAAATGAAATTCCGAATTTTCGGGCTCAATTTCGTGTTTTTGTTCATACCTAAATCGACCCAGTAAATGGAGCTTAACCTTTCGTTTATCATAAATCGTATCCTAATAGTCCAGAGGAACGATATTTTAACGTTTTTAATATATTATGTAATTTTAATATCAAATTTCTGTTTCGTTCGTCCCCGAAATTTCGGAATATATTTCATGGCAGGCCCTCAGAATTCATCCACGGGCGACACAGTACACTCTGTTATATCAATACGCGACGGTTACCACTTTGCATCAGATGTACCGTCAGTATGTTTGCCATTCTAAGTTGCATAAAAAAATATTTTTCTTTACCACATTTTTTTTATAAATAATGGATTTTTATATAACACTGTCTCCCACTTTTGTAAATCTAAGTAAAGTCAAATGTACATTCCTTTCTGTTTTGTAAAAAAGTACTTACCCATTTTCCGAGCATCTATTGCAAATATTATTGCATTATTTTTCAGAAGCCACTTGGCTCCTCTATTGTGCGGTGGTGCTGGCCACTGCCTCCGCTATCTCAATACCGTTGAGACAGAACCCGGAGACAATATGTATAGGGAAGGAGAACTTCCTACGCATCAGCGCGCTGGGCAGCTGTACAAAGTACTATCAGTGCTATGCGGGGAGAACATTCACGATGGAATGCCCGCGTAACACGTGGTTCAATGAAGCAAGACAGGTATAACAGATTTTATAGCATTTATTTGTGTTATAGCCATGTAGTTACAGTATAGAGTGAGCCACCCCTTCCTTTCCCGTGGGTGTCGTAAGAGGCGACTTAGTGAATTTAATAGCCAAGGGATGGGCTGCAGCGTCCTTTTTAAAACATCACCAAAACCTAACTGGTGATAATTTCGCAACTTACACTATCTAGGTGTATTAATTTTTTATAAATTAATATATAATTTATATATCGTCATAGTCGCAGAATACTGACGAATCTATATATGTAATATTTGTCAGATCCGTCAGTATTCTACGACTATGACGATATAGCTACAGAGTAGGGGTGGGTAATATGTTTATATTTTAATTACAATCTCTATCTAATAGATATCCAACCGATATAGGCGATATCGAAATGGGTAATGACCTTTTTCCGCCATCAATATCCAGAGGACGTCAATATATAGATATTGGATCGATATCCATATTATCCATGCCGACACTCTGTAGCAATCAAAACTGTTAGCATCCTTTGAATGCAGTACATTTATTAGAAAAACTAAACATTTTTCCTGAAGAGATATCACATATGGTTTCTCGACAATAAATGTTGATTCTCCCATACTACAGAACTATTTGGCGTGTTGACAAGGGAAACTAGAAAAAATAAAGTACCCCAAATCAATTTTTGAAATGGATGTCTATCTTGTTGTTATATCATCATGAGAAAATAATAAAACGCATTTCAGCAACATCGTATAATACAGTACCTAGGTAAAAGGGATCATAAAATTGTCTATACTATAAAATACGATTATGTTCACAAAAATTTCTGTCTATGATAGAAGAAAAAGAATTACCTGCTAATGTACATGTAGTACATTCATCATCATATCAGCCTTCAACTGTTCACTGCTGAACATAAGCTTTCTTGGGGATGTTTTGCCAGTAGTTGCCACGCTTGGCAGACGGGTTTGCAACCGCAGTTAATCTTTAGTGATTTTTTAAGAGGGACACTTCTGTCCAACCTTCGCCCTCCCTTAAACGACACCCACGGGAAAGGAAGGGGTGGCTTATTCTGTGTCGGGACCACACTGCCGATGTGTATATTAAATTTATTAAAATATTAGAATTGCAAGATTTCAAACGAATCTCCTTTAATAATTGCATGGCACGTAGTTTTAGTGGTAATCTATTTATATAAATTTTAATGATATGCGACACTGCTAATGATGTTATTCATAGTTATTCACAGTAGGCGTCAGATATGTAACATTGATTCTAACAGTACTCGTATTAACTCCTTGGAATCTTTACGCTGTACCTCTGGGTATAGTTTGAATATCTAATATTAGAAGACTGTATTCAATTATATCACAAACTCGATTAAGGCAATTCAAGCGTGGGCGATATCGGATTGTTCCATTTATTTGAATACTTTGTTAAACTTCAAGTGGGCATTGCCGCGTTAGTCAGTTCTATTCTGTGTGAAAAGCTTTAACTGAAGAGTGCATTAAAGGAAAATTAATTATTATTACCTTTTACTCGGGAGTTTTAAAACAAAGGTTACTAGTTCAATAGAAGCACTATGTAGATGGCTTGATTTATGAAACGAAACTTTAATACCTTGTAGTATAGATACTTTTTGTATGAAATATTTGTCCAGATATGACATTAATTTAGAATGACTGTTCTACTCTGAAAACCTTAAAATTTCAACAAAATGTTTTTTCATCCGTTTACGGGATACAAAAGATACATTATCGATTTACTAAAGATGAATGTACTTATATAAAAGATATCTAGATATCTCTAAAATAAAATGTAATTTTCATATCATAGTGAAATTAATTGTAAATTATTAATTAATTGTCTAAGAACAAATATGAAGTAAATTTCTAATATAATAGATTAAAGTCAAAATTGTTAAAATTATAGTAAAAACCTTTAATAAATCCATTTTAGCAATTATTTTATGTATAACGTTAAACTCTTAATTTCAAAGAAAATGACAGAGGTCTAATAGACAAAGAAAGTTTGTAGGAGTTTTTAGTTTTTATGCATGAATGGGTTAGTTCATGATGATCTATAAAACAATAATTTCGTGAAATGATCAAATTAAACTATTAGGTTAAAAGATAAGTGTAGAAAAATGGCGCCAAAAAATCAATCATATTGTGTTAATAAATAAAATTAACCATAATATAAATATATATAACCCATATATGTAGTATTGTCATAATTGATGTTTAATGTGTTTATCATATCAGATATTACCTGTCCACTGCTAAACATAGGCCTCCCTCTACTTTGGGTTACTAGTAGATGTCACGCTTGGCGCATTGGCAACCGCAGTTATAACATGTACTAAATTATATTTCGACATTGAACGTAAAAGAAATATTAGAAATGTTGATAAATATTAGGAAACTTTTTTTAAATTCACTTAAAAAATAAATAGCGTCCAATATATACGAAAAACGCTCAATATATAAGAAAATAATTAATTTCCTTTTCAGATATGTGACAGATCAGATGCACCTCCTTCTTGTTTAAGTGCTGAACCAGAACCAGAACCTCAACCCGAGCCAGAACCGGAACCCGAGCCAGAACCAGAACCGGAACCGGAACCAGAACCAGAACCAGAACCGGAACCCGAGCCAGAACCAGAACCGGAACCAGAACCAGAGCCGGAACCCGAGCCAGAACCAGAACCAGAACCGGAACCCGAACCAGAGCCAGAACCAGAACCGGAACCCGAACCAGAGCCAGAACCGGAACCCGAGCCAGAACCGGAACCCGAACCAGAGCCAGAACCGGAACCTGAGCCAGAACCAGAACCTGGACCAGAACCTGAGCCAGAACCGGAACCCGAACCAGAGCCGGAACCTGAGCCAGAACCGGAACCCGAACCAGAGCCGGAACCCGAGCCAGAACCGGAACCCGAACCAGAGCCGGAACCCGAACCAGAGCCGGAACCCGAGCCAGAACCGGAACCCGAACCAGAGCCGGAACCCGAACCAGAGCCGGAACCCGAACCAGAGCCGGAACCCGAGCCAGAACCGGAACCCGAGCCAGAACCGGAACCTGAACCAGAACCAGAACCTGAACCCCAGCCTGAACCAGAGGACGAATCTTCTGAAGACTCGGATGAAAATAATACCAATAATTCCAATGAGGATGCAGCTTCCGAAGAAGATAATAATGAGGATAATGATAATAATAGTAACGATAGTGGAGAAGGTAACGATGATGATGCCGTCATCAAGTTTATAAAGTCACGAAAAATGAAACTAGAATCCGAAAACGACGAAAATTACAATGTGGTTGCTGATGAAGCAGCAAAGTTAAGAAAAGAAGAGACGTTTGAATCTGGAAGTGATGAGAACGAACAACAATATGAAGTACAGAAAGAAGAAGAATCAGAATTGAAACGATTATTTAAGAAACTCACCAGACATTTTGCTTGAGCTGGCTGCATTCATAAGCATTTCCTAGTAGAATATACTTTTGTAATGCAGTAGATTTGTATTATAAATATACCTAGATATAGGACATAAGTATAAAAATTTAATTTAAGTATTATTTTTAGAAACACTGTGCAATTTTGTAAATATGTGAAAAAAATGTAATTATACGTACGTCGTTTAATTTTTTTTTTAATATAACCTTAGTCGTCGTAAAGTTTCCAAAAACTTTAAGAGAAATAAAATACTTGAAATTTATTTAGCTGCTGCAATCTTTACCGAATTTGCGGATGAAAAATGAAAATTCTTCTTAGAAAGGCTCAAATTAACATTTGATACTAAACAGTCAAGTAGGTGATGTATGTTGTATGCGACTTTTTTTTTCTAATTATCTAGTTAGTAAGAGAATGTAAAAAAAGATGTGTTGAATCAGACTGTAAAACAAAAAGTCTTCGTAATAAAGGCTACGGGAATAAAGCACTGTAGGTTGTAAAAAGAACTGTCCAAATTGGTTTAAAATTAAGAAACATATCACATGATATACCTATAAAAATTCGCAATTTTTAAAACGGATTAGATAATTGACGGCTTATTTAATCCGTGATGAGCAAGTATAAAGAAAAAAGAAACGATGTGCTATTAAATAATTCGGGTAGTCTATTTTTTCCTTATATTTGTAATATTTTCTGTGAGAGTAATTTCGGATAACTAAGTTACTAATTGTAAGTACTAAGTTACCTAATTGTGCCAAATTTTAAACTGACAGCAAAAACAAATTTGAGATTTAATTATAAGAGAGATTATGTCTCTATTTATAGCTATTTTAAAATTTGAGTTGATATAATAATAAATTTGATACTTGATAGTACACGACGAACTTATGAGCATTATAATAGAAGGTAAGATAGGGGGAAGGAGGGAAAGAGGAAGACCATAAGGAGGCGAAGTTACATAAGGAAAGGCAAGGAAAGGTATTGTGAGATAGATAATAATAAAAATAAATATTACAAATCAATTTTAGCAATTTATTACATTATTATACAAAATAAATCTCAATACAATAATAATTATAGTTAACACAACCAAAGCAAACATTAAACATTGGATTTGAGAGATATGCTTATGTCTCTAGGTACAAGACCGGCCGTAAATGCATCGGACATAAGTAACATAATGTAGGTTATTCGTAGTTATAGGTTAACATTTAAAGTATGACTTGTTAGAGTTACACTACTCACCGGCATATAACGCCATTTAAAAATACTGGCAATTTCACTCCAACATGACCAGTCAAAGTTACCCAAATTACACAAGCAATATTGCTAGCTATAAAAAATAAACATCTAAAATTGTACACAACATAGCAACAGTGTTAAAATTAAAGTACAAATATTGAGCTTGGTGCACACTAGCGCCACTCGTTTCAGACAAACCGCATCTACATTTTCGATGTTGTCCTATCCAAACACAAATAACGCTAGTCCACACCCACGTATTTAATTCCTCAGTCAAATATGCTTTACGCATCGCAATATAACAAAAGGTCAAATTATATGGTCATACAAGTACATATACACTTCGCTACGAAGTCAAGCTAAACCCATACTGACATACTTCAAGATTAAATATATCAAAACATGGTCCACCTAACGCACAGTATAAAAAGTAGCAATGAGTAGATATGTGATGTGTTAAAATATTATAGAAGTTCTGTGACGGTGATAGTTTTATACAAATATTAGATAGTAAACAGTTTCGGCGATTCGACAGCGTAATCAAATAGTACGTACATAATTATTTACGTACGCAATTATTTGTACAAAACTCTAACCGTCACAGATCGTTATAAGCCTACCCTAAAGCGTATATAATAATAGAAGTACATGAGTTTGTATATCTAGCGATTTATAACAGTTAACCATACTTTGACCAGATTCATTTGCCCTACATTACACGTTCCATATTCTCAAATAACACAGTACTATATGCGATAAGTATCAATTTACCACAATGTCTCGATTGCATTATTTGACAATATATAAGGTACGTAATAAAATCGAAAAATATCACCACATTAGCATTACAATTTCGTCATATCCATGATGGCAGACTAAAAAGTATAAACAAGTTTTCAAAAATTAAAAATATTAAAATTGTTTATTAAAAGAGTACTGTTAATATATTAAGATATACGATTGACGATTAAGTAAATAAATAGAGAAACAAAAAAAAATATATTTACAACATATAGAGCATGCCATGCCATGGATGCAACAAATAACATTACCCGCCAATAAACAATTCCAACATACAAATCCGTATTCCAACTACAGCCTATGTCTACGGCGGTTACATGAAAATATCACGAGAGCGAATACATTGCATTCCATTAGTATAAAACGTCTGTATCGATTACAATAGAATTTAAAGCGTGCTCTTAATGTTAATTCCTATCAAATCCATCAACATTGTTCAGTAAAAAAGTACGAAATATGTGTGATTGTACAAAACTTTATACTACTTAAGATGAACGCATGGGTATGGTATCTAGGTATTATGATATAGAAGACGTTCCTAGAGCGTTCCTAGGCCGCCCGGGCCGTTCCTGTATATGTAAAATGGCGGAGGCCGACGGGTCAAAACAGGCCTATATCCTTTTTAAGGTTTGTTTGCTTCCACGCGGGTAGTGCTGAGAAGTCTTCTTTGGTCATCCCGAAAGCCTCCTGCAAAAAGATATCGAGATAAGCACTTTATAGTATTACATTTTCGAGAGCCTACACCTCTTAATTTTAAAATAATAAATTCATGCTTTTCCCTTAGCTACAGACATAATAATTTGTTAAAGACATAATTTTTCTTTTTTAATTTTGTTTTGTCGTCGAGTAAAAATAAAATGCGTCACTGTTGCTCTCATCCCTAGGGTGTCGTAAAAAGTATGACAATGGATTGACTGCGACACAAGGATTCCCATTTTTAGTCCAAATCGCAGAATTAATAAAATTTTCTGAACAAAGCACAAAGCTACGTCCATTGTCTTCATTTATAATGATTGATAATAATTTATCAATAAACATTAATATGTTAAAAAAAAATTGGAAGGCATAGAACGCCAACACGTTTGACAGATGTTGTATGAATGAATGAGAAGATAATTGAATTAACTATGAATAAACTGATATTTAGTTACACCGCAGGGAATTTTACCTTCCGTAAAAAAATACAAAAATACCTTGAGCACGTTTTTAACATAATGTGACTTGCTCAATAACAATTCCCAGTAGCGTGTACCGCAAGATTCTTTGTCTATGGTCAGATTGAATGAATTAATACTTTATTGTACATACTGTGGTAATTACAGGTTCATAAGTCAGTAATATGGTGTAACACAATACCCTTTTACAATACCTTTTTTACGATATTAAACCATTTCATGGCCTTATGTCTAATAAAATATAATTACATTACGATATACAATGATAATAATGTGATGTGTGCATGCATGTATGTATGTATTATGTTTCGAGTATATTTGTGATTATGATATATTATAATATGTATATTTATTTATTACATACATATATAGTCATACAAATGTATTATTACGTTTCTATTATGTGTTTTTGCCTAAAAATAATGATTTAGTCGAAGTTCTGTGCCACTTTTTTATACCTGGAAGTCTGTTTCGGAGAGGTGCCGTTCGAGGTGATGTGGATCGACGTGATCAGGTAGAGGGCGCCGCTGCAGCTCGGCTAGAGATAGCACAGCGTCGCAGCTAGCTAGCCGCGCTAGTTCCCGAGCGCCGGCCAACGTCTCGCCCGCCTTGTACCCGTGCTGAAGGAACGTGCGTATATCGTACAGTGCGCCCAAGCAAGAGCCCAACCCTTGCTTATTAATAATTTACACAGAACAAAAAAGAATGTTTTGTATTGTATCCGAATTAGAATTACTGTAAAAAAATGCTGTCCACCCACAGTGCATGCACTTACTTCTTTTTTATTCTGATATTTACAACTTTACAAGTAAAATTTTATATAATTTACAATAGGTGTAAGTGATAAAATATTTTAAGCTGGTTTTCCGTGATCATAATCCGACATAAAAAAATACAATACAGGATATTATCAGGGTTATTATATAATTTGTTGACAAACTTATACTTGTTGATAAAAGTTGACTTATTTTTGCCGAAACATTTGTATGGAAACTATTTTTATAATCTAAGCAAATTAAGTTTTAATTCCTAATCAAAACTATAAATATATACAACTATTACTTATTCAATTAATTAGAAGTTGACTGTCAATAAAATTATAAGAATTATATAAAAATTATAAAAGTATAATATACTTTTAAAAGTGCATCAATTTAAATAAATTATCTAAATAAAATCCTATATATTTTATATTCTATTGCATAATATATCACAAACCAGTCAGATCCAGACATCAGTAAGTAATAAGACCACCGTTGTTAAAGAAATATTATCTATGACTTTACAATCCCCTTCCCTCTTACCAATCACCCAAACAACCACCATAAACAATTATAGTACATACCGCAATATTAGCCTCGGCGGCTTCATCGTGCTCTCGCCAAGTATCAAACAGGTCGGTGAACTGCTGAGGCTCAAGACCGGCCGCTACTACTTGGACGTCTGGTTGTTGTGGTCGCTCGCTTGGACCGCTTGCATCGCTTCCAGCGTTCGGTTCACTTCGCTCGTTGCGACCACGTGACACTGTCCAATAGGCTTCAGCTGTTCGAAGTGCGGCCACTCGCATCGCTTGCCATCGCGCCGCGAAAGCGCCGACGCCTAAAAATAGAATTTTATCTTGTCAAGGTAAAGGGTTTTGTCGCAAACAAGCATACAGCTCGTCTAATGGTAAACGGTTACTGTGCCCTATGAACGCTTGCAACACTAGAGGTCATGTGCGCGTTGCGTTTAAATTTGTAAATAATTTACAAAATTTGTAAATTGAATAAAATGATAATGAAGGACTTATCTCCAGAGAGGGTCAGATTTTCTTTGTCTCAGAGAGTGTCAGATTTTCTTCCTCTCACTTCAGATTTGCAAGAGATCGATATGTTATGAAGAATTCAATTTGTAGTCCATTAATGAAATTTTATTCATAAATTCTTGTTCAAAACTTGAGAGAAAAATGTAAGATACAGTTTTAAAAAATACTCGTTTTAAGTCAAACATTTACACATACCGGCGTTTCTTTCTGCAGGTTCAAACTCTCCGTCTTCCCCTCGAGGCCACCAGCCTTGCCATAGCCATACTGATTTTCCGTCGTCTAACAGAAATAGAGCTGAAAAAGTAAAAATAATACATTTTTAAATATTCAAAATTAAACGTAACTTTAGATCATATAATACTGACAGATTTATTATTTTACTGATCTGATTATTATCGAATAACTTAAGATTGTGTTCCACAAAAAAAAAAAAATGACTTCAAATGTGGCAAAACCAGTTATTTTGATTTCAATATATATATATATATATATATATATATATATATATATATATATATATATATATATATATATATATATATATATATATATATATATATATATATATATATATATATATATATATATATTATACAGAGATATAATTGACAGAGTTCTGAGGTAACAAACATAAAAAAAATACACAACCGAATTGAGAATCATTTTGAAATTGGTTAACAAGTTATTATACACTATACAATGATTATTGTTGTAAATTTTTTTTATACCGTATAGGTGTAAATTATGACAAAATAGTTTTACTATTAAAAATTGTAGTTACCTGGTTGCGAAGCCGAATATAACTCCTTTTGTTCAAAAGGGAAGGGTGTCACCAGGTGTTCATGGCGGAGGGGTGACAGCACCTCATTGGCTTCGAACTGGCCCCCCAGGTCAGTGAAATGGAACAGGCGTGGTGTCACTTCTCCTCCCGTCCGACCACCGCTCAGCACTGAATTATAATATTGCTTGTTGGCCACACCCAAAGCATCCAGCACTTCTTTCGGCTCCTCTCCTTCTTTGACCTCTGTGATATTCACATCCCCTGCTTTATCTCCGAACAAATAAGTACACTTGCGCGCTATCAACTTATTGGCCAACTCGATTGCTATATTCTTAGTGTGTTTCAAACTTCTAGCACCATGCCAAATGTACAAGCAGCCCTTCTCTGTGTCGACGAGAAGTAGCGACCCACGGCTGCGTAACTGTCGCACCGAACATGGTACTTGTAGCAGATACGCCTCGTTGGACAGGTTACCTCGCGTCACGAACAGTTTGTATCGACTCTTATCTGTGTCTTTTTTGCCTTGGTGGATGATTAGGTTGCCTTGGAAGAGATTGAGGAACGCCGGCGGCTCGTTTCCCTGCGCGACCCTCAACTGAGGGCCCTTTTCTCTATCTAATTCCACTGTGAGTAAAGCCGCAGCACCTTTCTCATTAGAAGAAGCATCTCTTCCCTGCCAGCAGAAGTAGGCGCATCGATCACGGCCGGTTATATTATGCTTGGAAGGTTTCCCGTTAAGTTCTCGGCCAGTTACTGTTATTTGGTATTCCCATCTGATGATATAGCTATCGCCAGAGAAAAACTCTCCCACTTCGGAGTCGTTCTCCACTTTTTGGTAATCGTACTCCTGTATTACCCATTTACAGACCGACTTGGTCTTTATATCGTAGTGTCTCAACTCCTCCTTATCGTAATAGTGCGTACCGCGGCCGATATGGGACCCTTCTAAAATGAGATCTGGGTCCTGGTACTCATTCGACCACATTTCCTCGGCGTCGCATGGCGTTATATCGACACTGTTCGATTTATTCTCCTGCGGCTTCACCTTGATGACGCGAGAGTAATCAGGCCAGTCTAGGAACTTCTCTTTGAATAAGATGGATTCCATGTGCTGCGTTACTTTGGTTAGAATGGCCCACTCAGGTCTTTTATTCGACGATTTGAGAGGAGTGTTGGATTCCTCTCTGGCACCTTGGTGTATGGCTGCATTTAATGGGTTGATGTGACACTCTTCATAGTTGTATCCACAGTCGAAGAGCTCTTGTGCGAGTTGGGCGGCCCGTCTCCTGCTCTCGAGAGGTACATTTTTTCCATACCAAATGTACATTTCTGAGCCAAAATCGAATACGATGACTTTCGATTGGTTCAACATAGCAATCTTTGGCATCTGACCCCAGTACTCTTTGATGGGGATAAGTTCATCATCTAATACCTCATAGCACATGTTTGTTTGTATGATGCAGGACTCGTATATTTCATCTTCGTCCACTTGGCCAGTCTCTATTGGCTTATAATCTTCTATGCCATCGGTGACGCCGAGCAACGACCAGAACTCGTTCCAGTGCTTGTTCGAGTAGTTCTTAGCGTGTTCGTCAATCTTGATTACGCCCGTTGAGTTTTTGCAGCCGAGATCTTTTCTGTTATGTATATGTGTCGCGATGTCGGTACTGCGATTTCTGTGAAACAATACAATTGGATTATATGTATATAAATAAAAGAGACCCATTGCAAGATTTTTTCACCTCTTCTTATGCATTTAAATTTGGATGATATTATGGATATTTAAATATTATATATGAATTTAAGGTAAACTGAACACTAATATTTTACGTAAAAAGACAATATGTAACAACTTTCTATTTCCAGGATATTGTTATAGGCGACAACAAGAACACAGCATTTAACACCAAAACAAGTGCTTGAAAAAAAATCTAATTATAAAAATCTATAATAATATTATTACACTGGCAGTAAAAATAGTCTTAAGAAAAGAGATATGCACCCAGCGAGAGATATTAACGAGTTATAATGTAAAATCATTAATGACTTTTAAAAATATTCGTACGATACCAGAACTCCTGTTGTTTTGGTATATGTAGTATTTGGTATTTGTGCATGTTTTGTCCTATCCTTACTATAATAATAAGATTTTATAATATTATAAATGAATGAGTGAATGAGTATGCTTTATTTTCATTATACAATATCGGGAATAAGCAGTAAAACTACAGAACAGATTTGAACAAAAGTTGGTATGTGGGTAAGTTAAATCCTACCTAAGCATAAAGCATACTGTATGTAATGATTTACGCAAGTAGAGCCGTCAGATATAGCTTATCTTAAAAAAAATTATCAACATAACTCACTTCTCTATTACGTTGGCGTAAAGTCCAATATACAGGAACACTTGGTCGGGCGTGATTAGTATGAAACAATCGCCACGGTTCACGTTCGTATGCACAGGCTCCACCAGTCTGGTCTGAAATAGAAAGATATCATGTGGAATATAAGCATAATGTATACTTCTGTTATTATAGTAAAATACTTATATATTCATACTACTAGGTTCTAATTACCTGTAAACGCGTTGAGACACGAACATGAATATAAATTCGTGTAAACAAAGCAAGTCTTTAATTTAGTCACTATCACTACATCGTATATAAAACCGTTTAAAAACAAACTCGCTGTCGCTGTCTGTCCGTCCCTATGTATGCTTAAATCTTTAACTCTACGCAACGGATTTGGAAGCAGTTTTTTTTTTAAATAAATAGAGGAAAGAGGAAGGTTTATGTGTATAATACATGCATAATATAGTAGAGAAACACTGATAATTTTAAAGATTTCTAATGTGTTGTGATGTAATGTGCACCCGAGCGAAACCGGGGCGGGTCGCTAGTTTACAATAAATAATACTTTTCATGATCTGTATAAAATAAAATACAAATAAATATATTATTTATTCAAGTAAGTTTAATCTCACTGTTTATTTTTTCAATCGCGATACTTTTGGATATACTGCGTATGGGAATGTGAATCTACAATTTATTTCATATGTATAGTTAGAATCAGTTTCAAAGGAATTAACCATTGGAATTACCTTTGGTGCCAATATTGGTTTTTTATATCTATTATTTGAATCTGTTTGAATCAAGAAATATCGAGTCGTATATTTGTACGCTGTACTCCTTTACAGTTGTTTAGCTGCTATACGGTCCGGCATAAAATGGGCCACCCGTTCGTCACTCGTGGATGTCATAAGCGACTAAAGGAACTTATTGTGTGAAAGACGAGCAGCAGCGTCCGTCTTTAAACATCACCAAAGCCTAACTACGGTTGCCAACCCGCCTACCAAGTGTGACGACTACTGTATTCCCCATCATCCATGTAAATTCCCCAGTAGGGGGAGGCCTATGTGCAGGGACGTTATCGGCTGATATGAATGAAAAAATACCTGTACGCGACGTCGACCCTTCACGTGTAGAAGCGTGGGGCGGGAGGGCGGCGCGGCGACGGGCGCGAGGGCACTTCGCAGCGCCACGTGCGCGAAGTCTTCCTTGCTGGCGAGAGCCGCTAGCGCCTCCGCCGCCAGGCCGCAGTTAGCCGACACTGGTCAGAAATTATAATCATTATTAAAAAGGAAAAAAAAAAAACTAATTATTAGAACTATTGAGGACAGAAGGGGAAAAATGTTAGGACACTTGATACGACACGACGAACTTATGAATAATATAATAGAAGGTAAGATAGAAGGAAGAAGGGGAAGAGGGAGACCGAGACATAGTTACATCAGGCAGATTAAGGAAGGAATTGGTGTCGTGTCGTATCAAAGGTGAAGAGACTCGCTGAAAATCGTAGTGAGTGGCAAGAGCTCCACCGACAGGAGCACAGCTCTTAAATAGGATAGATAGATTAAAAAGTCCGTAGATACATTCCAGAGGGAAACTTTGTACAAAAATATTTTGCTTTGGTATCTCTGTCCCATTCGTATTTCTACCGTGAAGCATTTATTTGCATGGCTGTATTTCGGTTTGAAGGGTGGGATATGGCAGTGATTTTACAGGGTACAGAGGAATAACATCTGAGTACTCAGAAATGGCAACACATGGGGAGTATAATGGGCGAAACAGTATACTCTGTTATATCCATGATACTGCTCATGTTTATAGGCGACAGTTAGCACTTATCATCAGGTGGACCGTCAGCTTGTCATTCTGTTGTATAAAAAATAAAAATTCAATATTTTATGTAGATAGCTACATAAAATATTTTTTTATTTTTTATTTTTTTTTTTTTTATGGGAAAACAGATTAAAAAAAGCTGACGGCCTATTAGAAAGTGGAAAATTATATACGTAAATATGAACAGGATTATGCAAAACACTAATAATACTGTGACATCCATTATACGCTTTATGCTATATACAGACATAAATTGCGCTGCGGATATTACTAAAAAATAAGTAAATTTAGTTGTTATAGCGCTCTGTAAAAGTTGTTAGTAATGCGGGCTACCTGTCCCATTGCTAGTAAATACCCTGTCATACCGACCTCCACGTGGCCCCACCTGAAAATCATAGTGCTGAATTCCGATCCGAACATCACGATGGGCTAACTGACCTACCTTTTCTTTATCACTTATCATCCATCACTGATGCTCTAGCAGAGTATACTCTTAGCGCAGGCGGAGTCACCATTTCACTATCATTCATTAAAAAAACAACTTCAAACCGAAAAACAGCCATGCGAACAGCTGATTGGCAATGAATATAATTCAAGTTTATATCGAAACAATTTTTAGTTAAATTAGATTATAGATTTTTCTACTAAATATAGTTGGTATTAACAATACCATAAATTTCTCACCTTTCTCCTTTAACACTTGCTCCCGTATGCCGGTGGAGGAAGCGATGTACTCCTCCCTCAGATCTGTTCTAGCTGCGAGCGCCTTGAGTGGATTCTTGGAGCCAACTTGTCGCCGCTCGCGTTTAGCACGCCGCGCCCACTCACTTGCTAGCCTGTGCATACATTATTTATTATTATTGTTAAGTTTCGTAAGTACACATTATATTTTAATTTAATAACTACCGGTTTAACTTACGTGCAATTAGATCGAGAAAGCTCCACTAGTTTCGGGATCAATTCGTGATCCTTAATCATGAGCGACTGTGATGCGAGCGTACATTTACACGTAAGTAAAACCGATAGTTTTTACATTACTTTTTACTATACGTATAGCTAGTTGAAGAGTCGCTGGTGATTGTTGAATAAGTTAAAGAAGGTAGTGGAGTAATTATTTTAATCAAACGCAAGTAAACTCAGTAACGTCTGTACGTAGTGTCGTGTCTACACTCACAGATTGAATTTGTAGTGTTGTCAAAAAAAAAATAGTACAAATTAAAGTATTAATTCTTAGAATTCTAATCGCCAGATGCAAATAAAGTAATATATAATACAATTATATGTATAATATAGTGCTAGTGCACTAAAAGATTGTGAGAACATTAATTGCAGTTAGTAAAAAATAAAATTATTTCTAAAAATATCAACAGGAGATCGAATGCCCTGAAAATTTCGAACCTAATCTCCAAAAAGTTACACCACAATAACATGCATAAATTCTTGTTATCCTTACACATGTTATAAATGTAAAAGTGTGTTTATTTGTTTGTTACCTCTTAGCGCTTTAACTGCTTAACTATTCACTATAGAATTTGATGATAGACCGCTCTTTTCCCCGGTCACAAAGACGAAGTCAGGCATAAAAACTAGTATTGGAATAACTTACAGCTGTCTTGAGCCACTGTCAATGGCGTCCAGGTCGACATCCACGGCTGCCTCAGGAGTTTTCTCCTGCTGCTGGAGGGGTGCAAAGAAGGCGTGGAAGGTCTCGTCGTCCGCACGTGGTACACGCACCGGACATCCCGTCTTCTCGGGGCCTGGTGATGTCTCATCATCTGAAGATTAAATGGATATATTGATAAAATCATGATATACATTATTAGCAATTAGTATCATGTTTTTGTCAGGAGAAGAACAGTATCATTCACGTTAAATATTTTTCTTTTATATTTTTCATTGATATATAATAAAGGTAGCCTAAACAAGATAGCCTTTATTGTTCCCTACTAAACGATATAGTAGTAAACTGAGCAAAAAGAGAACAAAAAAATATAAGATCACACTGAGAAAATAATTGGCCGCTTTACTAGAGGTTAAGCTATTTCTAGAGTACATTGTGTTAAAACCAAACATAAACGTATAATAAAACTATAAGTAATCTTAGCATTGCACAATTTCATATGGGATTTCTATAGTAGGAAAAAAAAATTAAAAAAGTCGTCATAGAATTCCATACATTACTTCTTTACAAATAGTAATAATAAAATCGTAAAGATAATTATAAAAATTATAAAAATGTCCATTACAGTCTATTGTTTCATTTCAGCACAATATACAGGATAATTTGCATCTTTTTTGTGTTACTATACTTCTTACGTTTTTATGGAAGGTTAAAAAAAATTAAGATCGCTCGTTACATTACTGATCTGGCGTCCATAAGCTACGGTAACTCCGTTTGCCACTACAGTGGTCAAATAAAACTTGTTGTTTTTCGACACGTGTGTTTTTTTACACACAACTTAGGGGAAAATATTTGGTTTCACTAGTTAAACATTTATCTTAAAAGAATGCGAAGGATTTTGATTTCCCCCGTATATAAAATAGTACCAATCAATGATTTAAACATTAAAGAGGGTTGAGATTAGCACATTAAACACTCATTAAAAAAGTACACTCACTTTCATCAACCCTGCTGATGCTCTCGCTGACTGAGTGGCTCCTCTTGAACAACTCGCGGTCAGGTCGTGTGATCTCCTTGGGTTTCGCTTCGGCGGCGGCGCTTACGACTGCGCACGACGCTGAACGCAGCGGACCGGACGCGAAACCGTTCGTCGGCGACGTTGGTTGTTTCCGGGATCTGAAAAGGTTTTCTGTTCGTTTATAACTTTTATTATAAAGATACTAAAAATACACAGTGGTATTTAGTCCTGAACGGAATTTGTACTATGTGTGCTAAATAATTGATAAATATATTTATTTAAATACTTGGTTTACGGTTCATACACAATACATAGATACTCCGACACAAATGCGGTGTGTATCACACTCGCACACACACACACCTACATGCATACCCACACACGTAGATATACCTACATACATAACTACATACGCACATGCTAGTACACAAATACAAAAAATACAGTCTTCTTTTTTAAATACAAACACTACAAACGAAAACTGCTACAGACATATATTTTACAATCAACCAGTGGTACAAGGAACACACAATTAATTGAGTGATTTGTTATTTCATTTTATTACTAGAGAATCGATGTCTATATACTAGATAATCAATTGGTATTATATGGAGTCGCGTCTTTTATAAAAATTATATACAGAAAAAAGAAATATAGAAATATATTCGAGTATTTCTTAGTATCCAAAACAGAAAAGGAAATTAAGTGGGCAGAACTAAATATAGAAGAGATCTCATTTAAAGATAAATTCACCTTTATTCACATCGTCTCTATAATTATTGCATAAATGTTACCAATACATACAACAAAAATAAATAGGAATATTATATATTAAGGTTAAAGGACAAAAGGACGGACATTACAAAATGAGGTCGGTACAGGAAATTTCAACATTTCTTTATCTAAATATAATGCTACAATGTAAGCTAATGGTCAACTGTGGTATCTATTCTAAATATTGTTTATTTAAATTATTTGAATAACAGCTCTTGGGTTTCAAGCCAGTTCGTTGCAATTTCGTTTTAACACGAAGTAGTTATAATACTCTATACAGTTTGGTTACTCTCAGACCCTTTACATTTTAACAGTTTGAAGAAAGAATCTATCTATTATCGCTTGCATCGCCATCAGTACATACATACATATTTTTGCATATATATGTACAGACCTCATTTTTTTATTAAGTAATAAATATCTATATTAGGCCTGCATAGACGAGAGATAATCCTAGCTGCCAATTTTCCATTGTTCCCTCTTTGCCATGTTATTTCTTTTTAACACAGGGAACAAACCAGCATGTAACTTACCACGTAGTAAGTGAATATGAGTACCCACCTACCTATGAGTACCCACAAGAGTAGAAGCATTACGGGCGTGTTTGTTGACTTTTAAAGATGGAATATGCCGTTTTCTTGAAGATTTTAACAAAACAATTAAACTAACCGGAATTTGTTTGGCGGTGGTACACCAGGGGACGCGACAACAGAGGGCGGGGTTGAGACCGGCGGCGGCGTCATAGGTGGTGTAGTGCCCGACACTTTGTCCCGCTCCAGTCGTCCGGCGACCGTGAAACGTGAAGCATCGTTCTGGGGTACACGTTTGCGCCATCCCTAAAATCAAAAAAGAAAATAATTTATTGTATCGAAAATAAATAAATAACACTGGGCATATATGTAGCGTAATCTAGTCCACAGTAAGACTCGTTTGGGTTAATAAGTTGCAGTAAAAAAAATTATCTGTATTAAATTTTTTTATATAAGTATAGTTGGTAAAAAGCATATGACGCCTTTTATAGTAAGGTTATCTGTCACTTTTTTCAATCCTTGAGTCATGCAGATCTTGAGTCACATTGTCCAGAAATTAAAATTTTAACAAATAAATAGAATAGAATACTCTATTTGTTTGCTAATATATAGCAGGTATTAAATTAACCGCAAAATATAAGATATCCTACTTCAAAGTATAGGTCCTTTAATAATAAAAGAATAAAATGACTCACAAGTATGCCTATTATACAGAAAGAAATTACTCATTATTTGTAATTGTTTAGCAACCAAATATAATTTTCAATTACTCGTATATTATCTGGTCATTAAAATATCAATGTTTATATTTCATTGTTTTAATCGTTAGCAAATAAATAAATAATAAAAGTACACTAAATAACAATAAGTACAAAAAATATATAAAATACGTGGTACACAAATTATTAACATGAAATCCAGTATAAGAATATTTTACCCTTTTTAAAAATCTAAAAAGGGCGAAAATTAGGGTGTATATTTAATTACTGAAACTTATATTACTTCACAGTGGTTTTACCTCTATAAAAAAGCTAAGTAAATTTTTAGATAGTCATCATATCATGTGTAACTTTCTGCTGCTGAACATATGCCTCTTCCATAAAGCGGAATTTTTTACAAAATCTTACATCCCATACCGAAAAATAGCAGGCACAAAAATAAAACGAGTAGACACTACCGATTGCAAAAATTGTGAAAATCGGTTATCCTTTAATTCGCAAAAAAAAAACCACCTGTGAACCTCCTTCTTCGGAAATCACTTAAAAAGTTTTAATCACCAGAAATCCTTGATCTTTCGGAGTCAGCCTTAACTCAAAGGCTAAATTTATTAACGCATTTAAGTACACACCAATAAATACATTGTTTTTTACCGCAATGAAAAAAGCCCCAGAGGTCGTATGATTTAAACGACATTCCTCTTGCATACATGACTCTACATTAAGGGTTGCCACTATTGTAGTAAAATATTGAGGTAAGTCTTTTTGGTATATTAGGTGCACCTAACTTTATGAAATTAAGTAACCCAAAAATTTCATTTTAATTACTTAATAATAATTTGATCTATCTGTAATTTATTTTACGTTAATCATCATTAATCAGCGGTATCTTCCGGAACAATTCGAACGATGGATCGGCTGAATATTTCATGAAATACTCGTATATATTAACATAATTAATATTTATATTGCAAATATGCTTTGAAGCTATTCAGTAATGACAAATATCTGCTGAATAATAGACAAAATATAAGAAAAATACAGAAAATACATTACTTCAAACTTTATTTGCTCTAAAATGCGACAACCCTATTTACATTGTGCATTACGAATGTATTTGCGCAATGCGAAATTGTTGAGGCCTAACTTAGTGGTTAAACTTGGGGGGAAATGTACGAGTACGCTTTGTGGTCTAAAGCCGGCGGTCCATTCATTTGGGGAGTTACAAGTTAGCTTTGTTGCTAAGTCGCCACAGGGTCTACAGATAAATGTAGTACTTGCAGAGAAGACGCACTGTCCGTAGGGATGGTATATATGCCATGTAAGGAAACATTTATATTTAAGGTCGTTCATGTTCATTGGGAGAAATCCGACTTGCACCATATCGTCATAGTCGTAGAATACTGACGGATCTGACAAATATTACATATATAGATCCGTCAGTATTCTACGACTATGACGATATGCGATGCGTTATATGAAAGAGTATATTGCAATGGAAATCAGGAGTCCAAAAGCAAATATTTACTTAAAGTCTATAGTACAATTACAATTCTATTTTGTGTAAAATGTATGTAAAATGATGTTGATTATAATAAAAATATGCTCAATGCTGGTAATGCTAGATGGGGTAATAAATTTTGGGGTATTTTGTCTTTTATAGCTGTTATGGTGAAAGCAACATTTGACTTGCTCGCCCACTTTTGATCTAATTGAACTCCATCGTAGCTCGGGACAAGTTTGCTGTCCAAGACAAGACTTTTAACGGTGTTTGCATTACTGCAGAGTTAGTGTGAATAGCGTTTACTTGTACTGTGTTCTCCTATTGATAGGAGTACGAGGACATGCTATTTGTTCCTTCTCCTTTAAGTAGATGCATAGGAAACTATCACTTTAATATATAAAAGTACGATGATGCCAGAATAAAACAAATGACAGGCGCAGTACTTTGATTCGATGTTAAGTAGTATTTACAAAGCCTTAAATCCTCGTATTTTGTTCCTACAATGAAATTCGCGGAGTGATTTATAGAGACAGCCTTCGCTTTCCCCCGGGAGTACTTATTACAATATAATAGGTCCTTCGAGAGAACGACCGGAGATATGTTCTTCTTCATAATGTACTAAAATATACGAGGGTATTCTGCGCGACCTTCAACGTTAGACAAAAGTTGTTTTAACGACGAGACCCACGTAGACTTTTAATTACTATGGTTTGAATTTATTTGGTTTATTATAGAGTTTATGTACGAGTATTTTTATAACTAAATTAAACATGGACATGATTATGATAGGTAAATATTGTAATGTTTTTAACAATTATATTTTTAATGTTGTAGTAAGTAATGAATAATAATTGTACAAAATTCCACCACGTGCCACCTCAACCATGTAAAGAAATATAAAATTGAAAACTGGTGATTCATACTTTTAAATCAAATGTAACAAATTTTTTGGTGAGCATTCGTAAGAGAATGAATATCTGTGACAGATAGCTACCTTTATCTACGTTTGATTATCACTAAATTGTGAACGATATGCTCTAAGAGATATAGCTCCACCCAATTTCTGGTGAAAATGTCACGAGGGGACAACTGACCTGACCTGATTTTTAGATGTCAATCATCCCTCACACCAGTGAGGTAAAACGTAAAGCCAGATCACGGCAAGACTTACTATTTCCTTTTTAATCAATGAATAATTTAAGATCTTATTCCACAAAACTACTGAATTTATTTTGATAAAATTCTTATGAGATAATTTCGAAAGTATTTCCTTTCATTCAAAGAAAGGCTTGTAAGTGACGAGAGTTATGAGCTAACAAACTTGTATTATTAAGTATTGAAAATCTCCTCCTTTTTTTTAAAACTGATTAAAAATAATATAACTGTAAAGGTACTAACCTGAGCAGCTGTTTCCAATTTATTTCGTCTATCAGCTAAGATGTTTGTTGCAAGCTCAGTCTCATCGATGTGAACTTTTTTCTTCTCATCAACAGCGGCATTCAGATTATCCTGTAACAAATTTTTTTTTTATATTTAATATACAGATGCAAAGAATCGATAACCGATGGGGTTTCTTCCCCATCGGTTATCGATTCTTTGGTTCTTGAGTGAAGACCTCGTATGGGCAAACAGTGCATGACGATACCCTAGAGTGACGAGCTCAAATGGATTGCGGGGAGTCAGTGGATGTAGTTGGCTTGGGACCTTTCCTTATGGCAACCCATGAGAGAGGGCTATGTTCAGCAGTGATATTAATGACTGTATCGTCATCATCATGATGATGACGATACAGATACGAATAACTAAGCGAATAATCTCAAAAACAAAACTTTAGTGATTTACGAAAAATATGTCTTTTTTATATAAATTTATGAATAAGACACGGAAATAATACTTAATGTTCGATATTATTAGCTTATTTAATTAACAACTGATTTACTAGTATGAAAAGGTGAAATTGGAATCACTAGTATCTTTTTGAAGTGAATTTAACACCTGGATGTTATCGTGTTAATTGTGGCAGTTTCCAAATTTCATTTTCGTTTTTAACCTGAATATTTTTTTTAGTAAAATGTTGTTTTATTATTAGAAATGTGCTGTGTGGTCCCGACATATAATAGGCCACCCCTTCCTTTCTCATGGGTGTCGTATTTCTCACGTCACAAGTCTTATTGCGGTTGCCAACCCGCCTGCCAAGCGTGGCAACTACTGGCAAACCCCTCCTTATAGGGGAGACCTATATTCAGCAGCGAACAGTTTACGGCTGATATACTAAAAATTAGTAGAAATCTCCTTTAAAAGAATGCCATTATTTTCGATTTCAGCCTACATATTTTACAGTGGTTAAATTTCAGTTAAAAGGCTGTATCAAGTTATTGTGATGTTTGTTGATAAATTTTAATAAATATGTAAATAATTATGCATATTAAGACAATTAATAGATGCCTAGATCTAATAGGTCTTTGCAGAAAAACGTACTTTTCCTTTTACGTGTTAGCTAAGGTTAAATTATTGAATGTTATGGAACGGATTCGTCCCGGTCTATACTGTTGGCATATCGAATTAAGTCCTATTAACAACCATTTCCTTATCGCACTTGTAAACATACAGTACTTCTAGTAAAATCAACTATGTGTCATTTTTCCTGTGGTGTCCAGTAATTTTCAACAAAAAAAAAGACTATTAACAATTACATTGTTAAAGATTTTAAGATAATCATTGAATTACTGTTTTTAAAGTACTATGAAGAATACTGTTGAAATTATATTATTAGTAATAAATGATAATAAGTTAGACAATAACACAACACAGTGCTTGTCTGGTCGTGAATCTAGGATATCTATCTTTATGAGAATTAAGACAAGGAATTTAAAACAACGTAGAATATACAGACCAGAACTAAATTACAAAAACATATTGTCAACAGTTTGCTGTTTTAAGACAAATTTAAATGATAAAATTGAACACACATAAATTTACATGCCACTGATAAATGCTAAATAGGAATTCTAATATTGAGAGCATAGGTTATAATATTATTAGCTGAAGCGACACAATATAACATTAAGATGTATTCATCAAATAAAGATGATTTATTCAATAAAATATATTCTAACTAATAAAATACCTCTCATTGTGCATTAAAAATATAAGTAGTAGAAATATGGTAAAAGACAAAAGTATGGCTGTGCTCTTCAAATGTCATAGAGTAAGAAACATCAAAACATGTTTACAGACTTATAAATGTACAATATTAGTGGGAAGTAGGATAATAAAGGCATGTTTATGGGATATCAGAACTCAACATCAACAAGGGTAATGGCGAAAAACTTTCTTTGACGAATGTCAATGACCTTTTATTGGCACACATCCAGCGAAAGGGCAGAAATATCATTATTTCAGTTGTAACATAAAAATATTAATAATAATAATGTGATATGACATTATGAATGCGACTTTCTTTAATCAATAACGAAACTAAAATTTTCGAAATGTTTTAATTAATTGATGTTATTGAGTTTCAAACTTATGACATTTAAAAAAAAATTATATATACCATACCATAACAGCCGTTAATTGTCTACTATTGGACATAGGCCTCCCTTTATTAGGAGGTTTTGTCAGTAGTTGCCAAGCAAGCCAAGCAGGCGGGTTGGCAACCGCAGTTAGGCTTTGGAGATTTTAAGACACGCTGCTGCCCATCCCCCGACCAATAAGTTCCCTTAGTCGCTTCTTACAACACCCATGGGAAAGGAAGGTGTGACCTATTTTATGACGGGAATACACGGGTTATGTAATTGTACATATGCACCGCGTTAAATAAGATACTATAAGAACTATACTTAGGTACCTATATTTTATTAAACAACATCTAATGGTGATACCATATGTTATATAACAAATTGAGTCATGTAATATCCATTGGACCACAGAGATTGCGACTGAACTGTATTTTATCTTTATGACAACCAATTTACGGGACAGGCAGAGAGAATCGAGCGTCAAAGACCTCTATCCTCTAAGATAAATGTCTTGATTTATCTATATATAAGTTGAGAATTCGTCTCACGCATACATGTCGGTAGCGGGGACACTTGACTTCCCTCTCAAACATTATTCGTTTTATCTGATTCATGATAAGTAAAGCTGAACTGTTTTGTGTTTAATGAAACCTATTCAAATTAGAATATTGCTTTCAGACGAATCTTTTTGTTTAAATATGAAGCTAATTTAGAGAGAAAGAGGTTCTGAATTCGCCTTTTTTATATTATTATAAAATAACATTTTAATTTTTTTATTATTTTTTATCTGAAAGGATAATCATACAGATTGGCCCCATAGTCATTTTATCAAAATCTGTTTATTGTGGTTTTTAGATGAAAAAAAAAAAAACTGGTTTTGCCTCAATTAATTTTTTTTATGGGACACAATCTTCAATTGGAATTTGATTAGAAGCAAAGTCTCTATTTTGTTTTTGCGTAGAAAAATCCTAATGTTTCAATGTTATGATTAAAAATCCTAATATTATTTCTATTACCGTTATGATTAAATAGAATGTTACGTTAAATGACGAGACACGTTAATATCTTCCGTAGTGGATATAAAAAACTCGATTATCGTTAGCCATATCGATGAGACGTTCATGGCTTGATGATTATCGTATCATATTGTATAACTGAAGTATCGCGTGTGATATAAGATATCCTACAATAGGCTTCGTTAGTCAACAGACAAAGCCACATCCTATTTCTAAAAACGGTATTAAGACAAATTAATAATGTATATTACCTTCTTAACATCTTAATGATAACATTTGTGTAGATGTTTAAATGTTTGTTGTTATATTATGTATAAATAATTTGTTTGTTTTGTTTAAATAATGTTAACAGAATGGAAAGTTGACAATTTTAATATAAGGACAAACTTGCGAATTACAAATAATATTGAATAATGTAAAAAAAAAAATACATAAACGTTGAGGTTTTGGATAAATGTTATCTCATTAATATCAGAGGGCAGCACGAATGTGTTTAATCGAGAAAACAAGGTACGGCTATACTAATACTCATAGCATGAAAGGGTAATAACAAAATTTTATATTCATTAATTTATGAAATATTTGGAATAAGCCAGTGAACATTCTAGAAAATTAAAGATTGACTCTACATAGGATCTCGAAACTTTATGGGTGTACAAATTACGATGCCGTAATCAGATAGAACAGATATAATTACTTGTTCATTTCATTGTAAAGCTTAGATGAGTTATTTATGTTAATAAAGAAAGCGAGTCGGTATAATCTAGAGTCCGTTTCGTTTAACAAACAACATGTAATTTCTCTAACAAGAGATTAACGTTTACTGAACAACCGCTAATAACGTCAATTTAACAATTTCTATGCATATATTGGAGTCAGTTTTATTAGAACTTACAGTCATGATGATTCGAAATCTTAAAGTAACAATGAATAAATTAAGAAGACTAAGTTCACAGTACGCTTTCTAGTATGAAACTACAGTTTTAAATATTTTGGCAACTAAAGTTTTTTAATATACAATGTGGACGGCCTACTCCTGGAGCGAAAAGATATTTAAAATTAAAAGAATAATTTGACGAATAATATACAAGTATCGCAAATATAAATAATAATTATATAAATTATTCGTGGTAATGATGACAAGTACTTTTTTTCCAATCATCACACAATATAAGGCTAACATACAAATATAGTCAATTACTAAAAGTATTCTGAAAATCGGCTTAGGATACGCAATACAATAGCGTAACAACTACCATAAAAAAAAAGTAATTAAGAAGAATAGTGCGAAAATAATTTTAAAATTTTCAATTTTCAATATATACAACAAGTATATATTATACACTAAAACTTAAAATTAAATTTTAAATAATAACATTTTTAATTATATACGTAAACATAAATGACAGTTGTTTTATCAGTAAAATCTTTATGATGAATAACTGTTAAGGCACGCAAAAACTTAACTCATGAATATAAAAGTTATTACAGCAGGGAATAAATTTTGAATTTACGCATTCTGAGAACGATAAATAACTGATACATGTAAAAGATATACATATCTAACAAAGTAGTTAATCTCATTTAACTATGGATCATGCTATAAATTTAGTCTGTGTAGTCTGAGTTCTAGTTTTATAAGTAATAAACTAAATAATTGTTGGATTACATGCCTGACTCTCATCCAAAGTATCGGCATCGAATTTCTTGAATACTGGCTTTACTGCACCGTTACTTGCATTTTTAGTTTTACTTTTCAGTTCACCAATTACAGATCCAAAATTGAGTCCGATTGGAAAACCTGGTTGGTTTTGAAGACGCGTTAATAAAGGTTTCGATACTTCCGATTTTTTCACAGTAATATCTAAATCCTTGTTTGAATTATTTTCATTAATTATTTTTATTTTATCAGCGATTTCATCTATTGTGCTTTGTAATATTGCAGATTTTTCGCTTAGTTGATTCCTGGACTCGTTTTTTATAGATGTTATTCCTAAATTAAGTACGTCATTAGTTTCGTCTTGTTTATCCAACGTTTTATCTAAAGAAAGATTTTGAATAATTGATTGTATCTTGTCATCGCTTAAAATAGTTTTCTCGAGAAATTCAGCTAACCTTTCTTTTGGTGGGCTTTCGCGTTTGCCAACTTTTTCTTTAAGTACTTCTTTTCTTTGTTCTAATAATAAACTTGGTGTTATTATTCCTTTATGTTCAAGTATATTTAGGCTAGTTTTCTCTTCGACAATAGGATTTTCTAGAATATCTTCCTCGCATTTAACATTTCTTATGATTAGGTCTGAACTTTCTTCTTTATTTTGTCTTATTGTGTCAACCCCAAGATTTATCTGAGTCGGTGTTTCAAGTTGGATAGAATTCTTAGATTCTATTAATATACCTTGACCTACTCTTTCAGAGAGTAAATATTTCCAAAACAAATACAACAACACTCCAAATCCAATTATCACTTCGTAGAACATTTTGAAATATAGTCCAATCACATCACTGACTAGAATACGTTAATATTTAGAGTCCATTCTATTAACAATCCTTGGTAATGTTGCGCTCTATTTGTAATTAGATCCTAATTGAGCAATAAAAGTTTTAGCGTTGTTAACACATCGTGCGTGTAATCACATATGAATAAAGCAAATGAAATACTTTTTTTACTGTTGTAATCGATCGGCCTGACTAATTAATCGTAATGTTGTACACAATTAATGTCAAAGTGAGTGCGTTGATGAAGTGTCAAATGCATACTAAGAGATCATTTGCTATTATCATCTGGCAGCGGACATGGCGTGTGACTCACAGTCAGATCCAAGAATGTGTGTAAACATTGTCGATCAGTAGTGTCAAAATGACGCATTTTGTGTTAACTGTGATGGGTGTGTCAAGATCAGGTGGACACTTATCATTGGACTCATAACCTTGATTTACGAAATTTACCGCATTGTATATAATATGACCTTCAGAAGAAAAAAAAATTAGAAATAAATTGATTTATTGAGATTTTATCAATAAAATCTGAATTTGTAGTCTTGTTAGTATATAGGTACTATTTTATGAATTTATTGCTAAACTATATTATGTACATTATTATGATATTTAACAGAATTATATAAAAAAGGATGAATAATGAAGATTTATTCATTTTAAAATAAGAGGAAAATTACAAGTTTCCCTTTATTTGTTACAACTTTGTTTTATAATAACACTTAAAATATGTGCGCAGTATTTCGAGAAACTAACTCCAAATATGTAAGCTGGTCCAAGCCTAATACGGCCTCAAGCAAAAAATACCACCATACCATTATAATATGTTTGTATAAACGTCTTTGATAGAATCTATTTTACTTAGTATCAAGTCACAATAATGAAAATCAATGAACAAAAAATTACTATTAGAAGTAATTAAAGACCGTCTCTAGCTTTATGTACTATGAAGCTTTAACGACTACATAGTATCTCAACAAATGTGACCTGAAGTTCAAATAAATAAACGATTGTTTATTACGACACAATAAATATAAATGGCCTGATATCAGCATAGGACAATTTCATTTGATCTATTATACTCCACACGTAAGTAGATTCATCAATTGGAGTAGTTGCTAGTGTTGCATACAAATTGAGAACATTAGAAAATAGTCTGCTAAATGCGTATGCTTCTAATTTTGTACGTATAGTATTTTCAATTAATATTTAAAAGGAAGCGATCCAAGTATATATGCGCAAGAAAGTAAGACGCAATTTATAAACAGTCATACTACAGGATTCAAAAGATTTCCTTTTCATTGCAAAGAAGGAAATAATTTGCAAGAATTAAAATAATATCGGCACTTATGTTTTTTTATTAATCTTGTAACTTCTAGCATATAAAGAAATTCACGTATTGATATAAAAAATTAACTAGCAACAAAGTATACTTTAATGAAACAAAAATTACTTCCGATGAAAAAAAAATATTGCCTTTAAAGAAGGTGATTATATAATTCAAGGTGAACAGATATTAGAGATAAACGTGATGATAATGTAGAAATGGATTATCTTATCGACTTTGAAAGTATCGAGCATAGAATTAAAATAATTATTTTACATTTTTTCTCTAGGTAATATGCAATGTATTAGCATAAATAGACTCTTTTATGTAATTATTTTTGTGTCATAAAGTAGAATCATAAAAAAGAAAATAAACGTAATATTATGCATTAATTTAATAAGAGATAAATTTGCCGGAGAAACAACGTTAATTATATAGGTTCACAAAATATTAAATGTACATGTTTTCTAACCGCACAATACTAAACCTAGGTACACTATTTGAGACACTTGATTATGAGTGAAAGCTTATTTTTTGATTTCGCGAGAGACGTGCGAGTTGCGCGCGCGCACATACACTGGCCCGATCAAAACAACTGGCGGTGCCGGCGAGTCTCGGCGGCCAGCTGGGTCATTGTCGAACATGTGTATGAGCATATTCAGTTTTGGTCAGTACTTTGATAGCTAATTGGTATGCTTCCTGGAAAAGGACATTAAGGTCACCTTTACAAAAATAATATGGCTGCAAAAAATAAATATTTTCTATAGTACATTGTAAAAAGATTAAAAAATAATGTAACACAAAAATGACGCGATTGTTATAAATAGGCCGCTAAAAACAATTTAAATTAATAGCATTAATATTATAGGATATACAAATATAAATACTATATTGCCTACAAGGTTAATACACTTAAAGAGTAGTTACAATTCGTATGCCCCTTGAAATGTGAATGTAACTATACGGTTATTAAACTGTGCAATTAAATTAATTTTGTGAAATTTCTGAAGCGTTATAAATTACAGAATCGGATTTACAATTTATCATGAAAACTGAAACCACGCTTACATATACATGTTATTGCCATAATATATTTTTGTATACATACAAGAAAATAATATTTTGGAACATGATGGCAATTTGCGAAAACATTCACATGAAAGTATAAGAAATGTTTAAATAACAAGAGTATCAATCACTTTTAACAGAATTGCTTCTATCACTTAATACTTTGAAATAATAAATTAAATTATTAGAATAGCATAATGTGTTTACACATAACGTATTGGATATATGGGACAGAGTATATTTTTACTCCAGCCACCTTGAATCCACAGTAACACTGCAGTGGCCAAAATTTATAATTAGCTGTCATTAGATCTAACGCCAAACTTTATGTGGGACAATTTCATAACCAACAAAGTATTTTGTAATAACAATTGCGAATTTAGAAAACTAAGGATTTTAATGTGCTAACAATTCACCAGTACTTTATGTAGATAAATTTAATCACGAAGTAATAAACTGTGATTCTTGTATTTTAACATGAAAAACAAAGAAGCACTTTTACATTACAATTTCAGGCGAAAACAACAATGCATATATTTTAGGCTTCATAGCAAAAACTATTATTGTAGGAGTGTGTGTGTATGTTTTTTTGCGATTCCATATACATTTATCCGTGTTACTAATTTACGATACTATTTACGAGTACTAACAAATTCAGATTGAGGTTTTTTATTAAGAACTGTATTAATTTTATGCAACAACATGATTACTTTGTTTGCATTAAAGAATAAATGATAACTTTTGTATAGAGTCGTCATTTATCTATTATATCAACATTGTATATTAAAATGTTATATCGTTATTGAAAATACAAGAATTCAACTTTAATTCTAGCTTCTTTTATAAGAGTCATAGATTCTCAACGATATATTGTTTTATGTTCATGAAAATTGTAAACAATATGTGCAAAAATTTAAAGTATCCATTTGAAATGAGACAAAAAGTATTTATGACTCAGACCTGCATCTTAATTAGGCATGTCATGGTAATGGAGAATTTACTCTTAACCTCGATGAAACAATTTGAATTCATTAACTTGAATTCCAGTACTGACCATGACAATATATCAATACTTCGAACAACTTATAGTTTACAATAAAGAAAAAAACGTTTTTAGCTCAATAAAGACAATAATAAACGTAACATTAAATCTTTAAAGTCACAGATATTAAAGTGCGCGAGTGAGCGAGGAAGGGCTATACATATAAATTGCAGGCTGTGACCGATGTACTGCGCCCGCGCAGATAGTTATCCTGCGCTGCGTCACGACTTCACAACTGGTTTGCTCAAGCAAACCCAAGTTAGTGTCTTTGCATTGTTATTGTACTCGTTTTGTGAAACAATATATTTTAGTGTGATGGAATGATGTATTTATTAGTGATTTTTTTTTAAATAAAATATAGACCTGATCTTCTACATAGGTAGTTAGCGCTTGTTTAAATAAATTAAAAAAAGTTATAATGTTTTCATAAGGCATTTGCAATATTCATATTATTGTTATAGAAATTGCCGCTATAATAGATAATATGGTATTCGTGTCTATATACAGACATCTTAGCACTAATAAAAAAAAATATTGATGAAATTGATAATAGAAGCAGAGTCTGTGTTACAAGTTACGCTTGTTATCATGATATAAATTTAGTTTCATCGACATAATAATATGGAAATATACTTGAGGAATGTGGTAGAAATATTAATTGAATATTTTATAGGCCTATTGATATGAATTAATTAGAATATGCATATTCGATTTCACCGGATTATAATAAAGAAAATCTTCACTTGGAATAACAATTCTCAAGAACAGTTCATTCAAATATATTTAAAATCTGTGACGAACAAGAAAAGTACAAAGAAATCAATATATCAGACACATAAAACTTAATTTGTAAAGCCAAAAATTGGCAGTCTATAAATGCATTATAAAAAGCATATATTTCAATTTCGAACCCACGCTAAAAATGTTTTCTTGGTTACATATAGATATAATTCTATTAGTATGAGATAAGCTTCTAAAAACTGCTTTATTTCTATTAAACTTTGAATAAAATTTTACGTGAAACATCATAATACATTGCACGATATATTTAGTTTTAAATATACGTTATACTATAATGAATCACTTTCTATCAATACGGGTATATGAAGAACAAAGAATAAAAGGAAACAACGATACTGTCCATACAAGAATATTGTTATACTTATATTTGGCACGTACGTTTTGTACGTCGTAAATAAATGTTATTTAGAGGCGTGTCCCATTTTTTAAGTAGATCCTTATTAATATGCACAAAACATCACGCATATTACTGCCTCTTCGCATCACGCACTTCGACACACATGTCCCCTTTATGTGGTTGGCATATTTTAAGCTTTTAATAAAAGAACGTCTAAATCTCGACCTTCCTATTTAACCTGAGCTCGGGAAGTAAGCCGATTACACCTGTCATTGTCAAGCGTGTGGCAACAGTATGTTTTGTCTGCAAATAGTTGCTAATACTCCAATTATGGATGAAAAGGGATTGTTAGAGGTGGACAGTCAATCCCATTGCTGGCAATATACCCAAAAAGAGGTTTTTAATTCAATAATCACTTAGGATCAGGTGAGTCGTATGCTCGTTTGCCCACTATGTTATAAAAAATAACATGATTTTGTCACCACTTCGAAACGGATTTTCATTATTTTGCAATCGATAGAATTACTCCTGTTTTAATATTTCTATATTAAATTCATGACAGTTAAGGCTAACGTCTTTCTTCAAGGTATAATATTCTGTGTTTTGAATATTTCCAATCACAAATATGTGTCTATAAAATATGTAAGTACAACTTGGCTTTCGGAAAATTCAAAAAGAAGTCGCGTTAGACCTCGGATGCGATGGGAGATGATTTCGACCGAGTCCATAAGGACGAGTAGGGCTTTTTCTATTGGATGAAAATGGAATGGTAACCCCGCCTGCGCTAACGGGATACGCTGGCGGGGCACCCGTGAAAGGTTAACGATGAGAATGAAAACAGGCCAGTTAGCCCATCATGATGAATTCATCTGGAATTAATTATGATAGTTTCCAGGGGGAACCACGAGGAGGTCGACCTGGTTGGGTATATTGCTAGCAATGGAATTCTTAGTCTCCATTACTAACAATCCCTTTCCCCCCTGACGAGTAGGGTTTGGCCAACGATCGTGCGAGATGGAAGGAGTTGGATTGATTTGGATTTGACTAACAGTGGGATAAGGTATGAATATTTGATTGATCAATCAATTTTATCTATAAAACATGTAGTCATTTATTGATGTGTTTTATTTGTTTTAAAATAATAGTACTGAAATTAACTAGCCAATATTAATTTTGACACTGTTCAAGTCACTGTCCTTTACAGAGCAAATTTTTTTTTAATTATAATTAACTTTTACTAATACAATATCACAATTTGATAGGCTTATCTGTTTTTAACTGGTGCCTAACCTTATCACTACCGTTAATTTTTTTTGTTGTAGGACTTTTATCTTGTTTATGTATATCAGGCCTATCATACCTTGAATTAATATCTTAAATAAATTTCAAATTATTTATGTTTACCTACGGAATGGCCTTCAATGATTTATAAAGATACGGAGATATTTATATTATACATACATAAAAAGACGCTGACTGACTGACTGACCTATATCGACACAGCTGAAACCGTTGAATGTAGAATCTTGAAATTTTGCAGATAGGTTCTTTATATAGCGTATCCGAACAATAAAAAAATTTGAAAATGCAACTCCTAAGGAAGTAAAACGGGGTTTGAAAGTTTGTATGGAATTTGGTTAATTTTTAAGTTAGATTCGTGAAATTCTAGATTTAGGCTTTTGATTCAAAAAAATAAATACGTATATTGGTTTTCGAAGAATTCTGCCTTATAGGAATAGGGGTGAATTCTTCAAAAACCATAGTGAAATAGGGGATGGAAGTTCGTGTGGAAAATATGTTGTAATTGAAGCTAGAAGAACGAAACTTTAGTTTTAAACATCTGTACGATGTCTGTACATGAGTCTTAACTCTTATTAAAACTCATCATATTAAGATTATTATATAAGGGTAATAAATGCTAAAACAATATTTTTTACAAATTTTGTGTCTGTCAGTCTGAATGTTTGTTCCAGCATCACTTAAAAATTACTGTACCAAATCAGATGCGGTTTACACAATTGTGTATTTAAAAGTCTAATTTAAAATCTGGTGTACGAGTATGTTTCATCTTGGTATTCCGTCGAAATGTAACTTATTTTGTACGTTTTCCTACTTATGAAATTTACGCGTACGAAGTAGCGGGAAAGAGCTAGTTTTTGCCTGTATGCCATAACAGCCATTATTACCCACTGAACATAAGCTTTCACCTATTAGGGGGTTTTGTTAGTAGTTGTCACGCTTGGCATGCGGGTTGACAACTGTGATGTTATAAGAAATTCGCTGCTGCTCATCCCTCAACCGTTATGTTACCTTAGTAAAGAGAAGGGTAGCCTATTCTATGCCGGAACCACACAGC